AATAAAGTTGTTATTTTTGGTTGTTTTTTGCGCACAAAAGTATTCTCGTTGTTTGATAAACTTAAGATTGAGCCATGTAGTCACTCTATTTTAACAATGTCTTTTATAACTTTTGGGCCGGCCAGTTTCGATCCCTTAAGAAGACTATGGAGGAGTGATCCAGCTCTCAGAATTAATCAAAAATATCTTAATTTGTGTTCCGAAGCTGAACGAAAGTCTTACGGGGTTGGAACAACATTAGGGTGATTAATTACTGATAGTATTTTAATTTTGGGGTCAACTAACTCTTTAATTTAAAAATGATAAATTATTGTAAATTATGAATTATGAGAATGTGACATGCTCAATATAACTGTTATCTCATGAGTCCAACCTATGGTATTGTTTGTCTGTTTTGTGTTCACTGTAATATCCCTGCTGCCTTTGAGAGAAGAATACATGACATGGCCCACATGCCGCCTAGCTGATCTCCATCTTACTTTCATTACTTCTATAGTTTGACTCTACTTGTGTTTACTTCTTCATTCTAGATTCAGTTCACTTTAAACATATCATATTTATAGTGAGTGAAAACTAGTGTGACATCCCTATTGAGCGTGTGCATACAACCATGAACAGATGAACAGAGCACCAGCCACGTGTTTGCAGGGATTCACCTGAATGCAGCCTTCCTGCACTGATTATAAACGGATATCACAAAACTAACAAAAACAACGGAGGGCCCCCATACACATGCTCTGCTGATGACTGTTTACACGCATAATAAATAGCTCCATCTCACACAACCATTTCTCTCAGGGGGGCAAATGGAAAAAGACTACAGCTGCATCATGCGGTGTGTCTTCCTGTAACGTCATCAGCTGAAGTCTGTGCGTTTCTAACCCTAAAATCAGCCAGGTGTGTTAGATCTTTTTACGCTTTTCTTTCGGAGCTGGTTTTCCGCTTGGCTGTCATTTGCTGGAGGAGAACTGTAACTAGAGATGTTTGCCAATATTTTGCTGGCACTTTTTAAAAGATTTTGTAAAGTAACTTAATACGGAAAGGGCCTAGAAAAGAAAACGTCCATTGCGTAATGCACAATTCTGATCTATAATCACAACCACATTGGTTTATCAGAACAAACTTAAATGTGTTTCTCGCTCTCTCTTTCTCTGTTTTCACAATTCAGTTGTTCTTTATTAGTAAGACCGTTTCATTTATAATACAGTTAAAGTAATAAATCAAAGCTGAGTGGAACGATAGAGCGGCTGCACAGGCCAATAAAAACAGCAATGGCTACAGTCCTGAGTTCTGCTTAAATGTTCAGTAGCATTAACCTCTATCTCTCTTTCTCTCTCTCTCTCTCTCTCTCTCTCTCTCTCTCTCTCTCTCTCAGATGAATACTGGTCTTAGTCTGAATGGGTTAGGGCAAATGATGTTGCCTGTGCTTAAATGCATTATTATCTAATGCTGTTATTTCCCAATCCCCATCAGTCATTAGTCAGCTCTCTCTGAATTAATACACTGACAGATTCCAGTTCAGCATTGCTCTTATGGTACCTATAACAAACAGAATATATAACAGACTCACGTTCATTCACATTTCACCTCAAAACGCATCCAAAATAAAAGTCTGTGTTTACATAATATATGTGGATTCACTGTGTATAATTATTTTATATATAAATACACAGACATGCTTGTATATATTTAAGAAATATTTTATTATAAATATTTTATTATTTATTATATTTTATTATATATATGAAGAGTTCAGATGCAAAAGCCTCTAAATGCCATTTGAAATTTTCTTCTTTAATGATGATTTTTATCAAACTTGTATATTTAAGTTCAGCAATTTCACTTAAATAACAATTAATAGGTAATTATCATTGCCATTTAAGTGAAATCACTGAACTTAAATATACAAGCTTGATAAAAATGATCATTCTAGAAGAAAAATTCAAATGGCACTTAGAGGCTTTTGCATCTGAACTCTTCATATATATATATATATATATATATATATATATATATATATATATATATATATATATATATATATATATATATATATATATTATAGTAAATATACTACTGTATATAGATTTCTATATAATTTATATTATATATAAATATAAATATTTTATATATAAATAATATTTTTTTCTTAAATATACATGCATGTGTGTGTATTGATATATATATACAAAATAATTATACACAGTGCACTCACATATATTATGTAAACACAAACTTTTATTTTGGATGTGATTAATCGCGATTAATCGTTTGACAGCCCTAATATACTGTATTTATGATAAAAAAATATTAAATAGAAATAGAATATGAATTATTATTACTTTAAATATATACAGTAATGGGAAATTTAATAGAAAGTCCTTAATTGCCATAAAATGTACAGCAAAAAAATGTCAATTCTACTAAAATATATGCTTACATTTTTAACCCCTTAAGTGTCCTATACTATACAAAACCTAAACTAATCTTGACAAACTATATGTCATTTGAAAGCTTACAATCTAGTTTCCATATTTGGTGACTGATTTTTAAAATAAATTACAGAGGAGCCGTAATTTATCAATAAGCAACAAGAAGGCGTGTTCAGACCTTTGTTTTGAAATAGCAATGAACATAAAAAATCATGAAAGAAGGGTAGAAACCTCAGCAATTTCTGATCATTATCATACAGAAAATTTACAAAACATAAAAATTAGGTATGATTTGATTACAGATTTAATTATTGCAAACATATCACATTTGCTTTATTAATACTACACTATCATTTTTGATTTATTCATAAATCAAAATAATCAATGCATAAGTAGTATCAGTCTGCTATTATGTGTGTGTGAGAGTCAAAGATGTTGGCCTGATGCGATGGTGACAGGTTTGCGTCAATCAGTTTTCACTTCGATGACTGTGTGTGTGAGGGAGGAGGAAGAAAGAAAATGGACAGCTAAATATTTTAGTAGTTGCTGATGTGTGCTTGTGTCTAGACTGGGTAGGGGATGAGGGGGCGAGGATGCATGAAAGAGGCGTTTGTGTTTGTGTGTCTTTGCCAACACTAGGAGAAAGGGGAAAAAACAAAAAGCACCCAGTTTGGTTATTGATGTAAAGTGTCCTGTCCTGAAACATAAGATCTTCTCTATTTCAGGCCTGCCGTCCTGAAAGCTTCGCAGCGCTCTCTTATTGAGAGCAGAAAGTAGGATAGAGCCCATTTAGGAAACATTCACAACAAAAGAATGAGACCTGCTGTAAAACAGGAGGAAAATGTGTCTCGTCATTTCCAAATGTGTCATTGCCTTTTCAAAATATTTCTGTGAATCGGAAGAATATATATACTCTACCATACAAAAGCTTGGGGTCAGGAATTTTTTTTTAAGAAATTAATACTTTAAATCGATTAAATCGATCAAAAGTGACAGTAAAGTTTATAGTAAAGATGTATGTGAACAAATGCTGCTCTTTAGAACTTCCTATTCATCAAAGAATGTGTTTTCCCTAAAAAAAATATTAAGCAACACAACTGTTTTTCAACATTGATAATAATAAGAAATGGTTTTTTTGAGCAGCAAATCATATTAGAATGATTTCTTAAGGATCATGTAACTCTAAAAAATCTGCTGTGCCATCACATGAATAATTTTAAAATATGTTCACACAGCAGTTATTTAAAATTGTATCACTACACAATATAACTGTTTTTACTGTATCTTGCTCAAATAAATGCAGCCTTTTAATTAAAAAATGGAGAAAAAATAATAGCTACCCCCAAACTTTTCAACGATATTTAATATAAAACAAATATAATCTAAACATTTAAAAATCACTATAATGTTCAATTCAAGAACCAACTTCATGTTCAGATTTCTCACTTTAAAGGTACACTGTGTAGTTTTTTTAAGAATTTTATTAGCTAAAATAAATGTCTTTATTTATAAATATGCCCTCATTAGTGTAAAATTACCTCTGCCGATTGATCTGACATATCCTCGTAAGCAAAGACTTTCTTATATTTAATTACATGGGATGGGTCAGTCCAAGGAGGCTTCCATGTCGTTCCGCCATCTTGAAAAACTATAATAGCAGAGAGGGACAAAAAGCTCTAGCCTACCTAAACACGTTTTCGCTCAGAGCCAGTCTGCACTGCACGGTACTTCATAATGCAGGGTCATTATGCCGAGCCACAGGAGAAGGAATCCTCGTTGGCAAAAAAGCAACAAAAAAAAAATTAAAGGAAACGTGACCGGCGAATTAAAAAAAAAAAAAATGAGGGTAAATATCGGGATAGCTTTTCCCAGGTGGAAAGAGCTAATGAAGGAGAACGACTTCGAAAGGGACGCTGAAGTTGCCTGCTTTCTTCTCGACAGGTAAGTCAATGTTGCAGTCTAAATTACGAACTTTTTTTTCATTGCTTGGTTGTGTAATTCATTATATAGGCAGCATAACAGTAGAACATGTTTAGTTAAACTCTATTGGAAGACATGTTGTCATAGCTTCTTGGTATATAGCGGCTCCCGTAGTTGCAATACACATTTGAAAAAGTGAGGCGCTAGAGAGCACTATTCGTTTGAATGCAAAATACAATTTCACCTCTAGATGGGAGAAATTCCTACACAAAGTATAAGGATTGGTTTTCCTCTTTCTGCTTTAAAGCTGAACATTTGGCCTTAATGAAAGTATCAAACACACACACAGCAGCAGCTCACATACCGTAACCAGTTAATTGCATAATTACTTTCAGCTTTCTGTCTGTTCTTTGGGTTTATATGTGCATGTGTGTGAGGAGAGAGAGAGAGAGAGAGAGAGAGAAAGAGCATAATTAAGTGTTAATAAGTGTACGTGTGACAGGCTAATTGTATGTTAATAAATGTATGTGCGTGAAAGTAAGTATTTGTGACGGTGTGAATATTTGAGAAGATTATTAGCACATGAACAAGATGCACATGCAAGTGTGTGACTTAGCATGTATGCATATTTTTAGAAGTTGTACTCACTGTCTAAGCACTGACTGCACTCGGTCTGGGTGGCCCCGCACTCCTTGACCACTCCCTCTCCTGGAGGACACTGCAAACAGCACTCACCGCTGCGAGTGTAACTCCCCGACTCACACTCCTCGTCCACGGCTCGCTCCAGCTTAGAGCCAAACACCAGCCCCAACTAGAGAAAGAGACAATTTACATTAATATTCCATCTCTCTTGGGCTTCCTTGTCTCCCATTACACACAAACCCTTAAGATATTTTGATGGTAATGTGTTTGCAAGAAAATATAGTCATATTGATATTCCTCAAATGCTATTTCCTTATTCTTTTCCACTAATTGCTGCAATTAATTCAGCCTGAACCACCAAAAGTAACTCCATTCAAACCTTGTTTTGAACTTCTAAAGTTTACCAAAAACTTAAACTTCTTTTTTTTCTAATTTATAGAAAGATTTCCCCAGTTAATCCCTCTCATTGTCCATAAACTCCTTCATATTTGCCCTACATGAACAGCTGCATCACAGCATATTGTGCTGATTGCATTTCTGTCTCTAAAAGCTGGGGTGTGTTGAGCAAGATGAGACAGGCAGTACGAGTTATGCATATGTCTATTACATGTCCAGCTGCTTCTCTCGTATTGTCACGGGTAAGGTTACACATACTTTACACACCGAGGTCTCACAGATCAGGGTCCGTTGAGCCTCTCTACCCAAGACATCCATTATTTAGCCCTACCCTTACCATATGAGCTTCCTCTTCCACAGCTCCTCCTGATCTGTTTGTTGAGTATTGTCAATAATAACCCAAGGGGTCGTAAACATCCGTGCATGCAGGCACTGAAAGAGGTGTTTATGGGCTCATTTTGTCTTGGACAACAGATGTGTGTGTGTGTGTGGTGTGTTTAAGAGGAATTGGAGGCTCATTAGTGAGTCACAGACTTCACTTTGAATTAATTTACTACTGCGGCGCTTCTCTCTTGCTCTCTCAATAGGTTCAGTCTGGTCATGTGATCACGCTCAGTGCTGATGTGTATCATAGAGTGTAGCAGTGAACGCCGACATCCAGCATTGATTTCGGAAGCGTTTTTCCCTATTCATTTTCTCCAAAGGAATTCTTCAATTTATTCAAAGAAGTGTCCTAAGCCATGAACCACACCAACCAGAGATGAATCACATTACAAACCATAATTTGAATTATGTTTTTTTTTTTTTTACAAAATTAGACTAAAGTTAGTTATATTGATGAGGGAAATAACTACTCATCCTTTAAAGTGTTGTGAATCTACAGTAGTTGAATCCAAAATGGCTGTGTGCATGTATGGTTGCGTTCACACTACAGGGGCCTAATGCTCAATTTTTCCAATCAAATGCATCCTTTTGCGATCTCCTGTGTGAACGTGAATGTGAAATGATCCAGAAGTGATCCACATTCGCAGAAGAGTACTCAACGGTCAACGACGTCACTTGTTGTTTGCGGAAATAGCTAAATATGACAGTCAACAGTGTTGCTCGTTTAGCAATATTAAAGTTATTTTCCCAACAGAGCCAGAACAAATACAATCTTCTCATTCCCGCCTACTTCAATGCAGAATTCTGACGTTTGTCGCATATCAGTGACGTGCGAGTCGGATACATGTGACCTGGCCGTTCAAGTCGCATTTCAAATGATCGGATACATATCGGATTTGGACTACATACCCAAGTGGCCTGGGTCGCATTTGAAAAGATTGGATCGGATGAAAAGATCAGATACAGGTCGCATTGGGGCAAAAAAAATCATAATTGGGTTATTTCAGCCTGCAGTGTGAACATAGCCTGGAAAGTCCAACGTTTAGGTCGAAACATTACACAAATACTTCAGTAAGACTAGATTGTTGAATTGTGTGCTTTATATTTGTGTCTAGATGACAGAGTTTCTGAATCCAAGACAAATGTCCAAAATATGGGACAATAAAGTGCATTCTCTCTCTCGCTCTATATATATAGAGAGTGTGTGCGTGTGTGTGTGTGTGTGTGTGTGTGTGTGTGTGTATTTTTTATTAGTTATATAACTGTAATTATTTCTGATGTAATTTTTCCTATTTTTTCCCATCCATAGCTTGTGACTGTTATAGAAAAACATATATAATATCGTAACAATCTTTGAGCTCATGATTTGTTTTGAAAGTGTTTTGAAGGGTCTATGCAGTATCATTCTGGGACCCCTGTTGTGCTCTATTGAGGAATAAGTGGGCCTTGTTGAAGCGTTTCTCTTTATTATGGCAGTGAAAAGCAGCACAGATTCATTCATTAACCTGTGGATTCCAGAGTCTTTCAAAGACACACTCACAAACAAGCTTGCACACACACACACACACACACACTCATATAACAGGGTAATTAAACTTACAGCACATTTTTCTCCTTGAATTCATTAATGAATTTGCATACTCTCCCTCTCTCTCTTGCTCTCTCTCTCACACACACACACACATGCAAACATTAGTTAATGGAAACCATGGCACATTACAAGTTGTAAAAATTACACACAAATTAGACAGGTCGTCATCATCTAGAGACCCCCCACAATCAAAGTAAAGAGGGAAAACCTCTCTGATCTTCTGCACGTTTTCATTAAAACGTCGCCTCTTGTCCCTAATCTTATCTATCTTCCTAGCCTCTTTCTCACACACTCTCTTTGCCCTTTAAGACTCCTCTTTCCACCCTCCTCCTTCCCTCATCCACATCCTCTCTCACTCTCATTCAGAAACAGATGCACTGGTACAGCAGCCAACTCACCCCCTCATTTACTCTCTCTCTCTCTCTCTCTCTCTCTCTCTTCATCAACCCTGGCTGTCATCCTTTCTTTTTTCTCTCAATTTGCATTCGCTTGAGTAAGCGTGCCGATGAGTTAACTTGGCAGGCTTTAATGGACTCCCCAGTATGGAGCATGCCCAATGCTTAACACATCTAACGAAAGAGTATGTGGCTTAACTTAGCTTTGGGGACTAAATTAATCTGCTATTATAAATCTCCTTGAGGTCAAAATCCAGTAATGTTATCAATTGAAAAATCAAGTAATAAGTTAAAGGAAGTGTATGGTTTTGCCCTTACTAACATACTGTAGCTAAGTAAATGTGTCATTACTGTGCAATTCACTGATCTGCACCTGTCCGTGAAGCACTGCTCCGCACCAGCCAGGAAATGAGACTGAGCTTTAATACCACGAAACATCAAGCCTTGACAAGCCATCGCGTTTTTCACCACCAATTAGGCGGCTTGTGTCCCCGTCAGATCTCTTGTGAAGCGCACTAGTGCCTTCGCGCAGCTGTGAAATGGCACTCCAGACGGAGCGTTGCTGGCTCATGTGTCGGTGGAGATCCTTTACTGACTCTGTGCACCTGGATCAAACTCAATTGCCAGCTCCGTTTGCCATTTTGCAAATCAGATCACTGAAAAGAGGTCACAGTGTAATTGTGTTTAGTCAAGAGCGTGTGCATGTTTAAACTGATTTGGACCGTGTTACACGAGACTGGAGGTGATGAGGGTCACGTAGGGCGCTTGGTAGGGGACCATGAGGGTCACATGCTTGCGCACTTTTGAGCATAAGGGCATATCTCTTACAAAAATGTACCAAATTAGGTTCACACCAAAAATACCACAAGAAGGTATATTTGCCAGCACCATCATCGTCAAAAAAAGAAAATGTTAAAATGATGATTCTGAAATCTTATTACATTGATAGCCTAACAATTATTATGCAATTTGGCTGAAGCAATGGTTTGAATTGTTTTAAATTTGCATATTGTTGCCCATATGATGTCTAAACAGGCAAGATACGATGTATGGAGGAGGGGGTGGAAAATATTTTTTTTAATTATAATTATATAGGTAAAAGAATAGGCTAAATAAATAAAATGGGTAGCCTGCTTTTAGGTATAAATAAAGTTCAACAAATTTTTTTTTAAAACGTTTAAGTATACAAAAGTTAAATAACAAGTTGGACATGGACTGTGGCTTGCTTTTTCACCAGGCGCTTTCGAACAGAAATCGTTGTTCCAATTTCCAATCATTAACCTACCTAACATTTACAAAACCAAACAATGATATTTGGTGTAGCCTACTTTATTACAGATTTAATTACAAATATTACACAGAAACTTTAAGGTGTGCCAGGGGCGCCAAAATTCGGGTCATTACATAGTCTATACTTACAATAAGTCATTACAATATTCACATTGTAAATACAAACGCATACAACTCCATAATAAGGGCTACTATGTGGAAAATATTAAATAAAGCCGCAGAATTCGTCAAACTTATTACCAACTTGGCATGAAAGTTTGTTTACAGTCGGGCGCACATCATTTCTTCTGTGCACTGATAGCCTGTTTTTCTGTCACCCAATAAACATACTTACTGGCAGATTAATTTTAAACGACTAGAATAGGGAAGCTTGACACCTGTTCTCCAGAAACCGGGCTGCTGAGATTAGTCATCACTACTACCACCACAGACCGTAAACAAGTTCCGCTGAATCCGCATCACGACAACCGGAGCATCACGCGAGCAGAAGCGGTGATCACCTGATGTCAATTAACCTACATATTTCATCCAGCGGCAGATCACTGCGCGCACTTGTGCTCTTATGCGCTCTGATCTAAACTAATACCAACACTTACCGCTCCACAAATCACGATCCACACCAAGGTGTCCATGTCTGAGATGTCTCTTCCCTCTCAAACTGTAAAACTGTAAGTGTGAGGCGTGAAGTGAAGATCAGCCGTCCGACAGTTCATTTTAGCTCCATGTGGCTGCTGCTCTCGTGCGTGGATGGTGTTTGAGACTTTAGGACTGTACGAAAGCGCGTGCTCTCGCTGATGCGCGCGAATGGTCCTGTCCTGTCCTGTCCTGTCCTGTACTCCGCACTCGGCGCTGTCCAGCAGTGCACTGCGGAGGAGAGAGTCGTGCACGCAGATATGAGGGGGGCACGAGGGCTTTGCCAACTCCCCCCATCAGCACTCTCTCTCTCTCTCTCTCTCTCTCTCTCTCTCTCTCTCTCTCTCTCTCTCTCTCTCTCTCTCTCTCTCTCTCTCTCTCTCTCTCTCTCTCTCTCGTAGGATGTATTTTTCTTTATCTCCAACAGAAACGCATATGCAGAAGACTGGACGAGCACCTTTGATCTGATCGCATTTAGATGTATATTTACATATAGCTTTGGCTTCATCTATATGGATGCTTAGGCTATACATGCATAAATCATTTATCCAAATGAACATAATATATCTTTCTACTCTTTATCTCTTTATTGCACTGTAGGCCTATTTTAATTATTAACTCGTTTGAGGATATAATAAAATGTATTAGCAAACCAAGCTCTTTAAATAAATAAAAAAAATAGAAAAGAAAAGAATTATTTGAGTGAATGAGTGTAATGGGTGTGACGTCACGGGACTGGTGTAATTAAACAGACGCCACAGGAGGGCGACTGCAGCCAGTGAGTCACCGATGGTGGGACATATGAGGCGTGATAAGGCCATAGACGGTTAAATGCCAGGGATGAGAGGTTTTTACTGTTTTTTCCTTTTCACCGCCATTCTTCAGATATGTTTTCCACCTGTTCGATGTTTGTGAAAAAATACCATGGAAAATACATGTGTTGTAAATATGGCTCTGAAATGTCCGTGTGACCGAGTGCTTTTATAGAAGCAGGTTGGTGCACTGCAAAAATAATTTTCTTAATAATTAACCAATCATCTTTAAGTAAAATTAAGTAGAAGTAATAAGTAATCATACATTTTTTCTTACCTTATTGGCAAATTATTATTGTTTTAGGGTTTATTTTACCTTTCAAAAAAACACATTTTTAAAGGGCCCCTATATGCTATTTTAAAGTTTCCTAATGTTGTTGTGGAGTCTCCTATAACATGTTTACATGTATCAAAGTTTTTTCAAAAAATAATTTCCTCATAATATACATTTGAACGTCATCACATTTTCAATGATTCTCAAACGACTCTTCAAATGAATCAATCATGAATCAATCTCTCTAAATCCATCCTTTCCGCAAACTACTCAGCTCTGATTGGCCGTACGGCTCAGTCTGTTGTGATTGGCCGACCGCGTACAGCGTGCGCGTCGAAAACATAAACGCTCATTGCCATAACAACGTCAGCTCTGCTTGCCTTGAGGCTTCCTCGCTGTAAACTAAACACAGTAAACTGCAATTCCTCACCATCAGCATTAACAAGTGCATGTCCATCAACAAACTTATTTTACTTATTTTACAGAGTATTTTTCAAATATATTACCTTAGACTGAGACATTTATATCTACATAACTGCGGGCATCCCCTTCTATCCACAAGTTTCCAACGCCCCATGAGGCCTTGCGTCAAAAGTGGGCGTGACTTCCGGTTCGAAGTAAACAAAGCGCAACTTGACATGCTTGACACTCGTTCATTCAACAGTTGACAGTCATTCAAGTTATAGCGATCCAAACTAGCTAACGATGTGGGAACACAACCTCAACGAAATTCAAAAGGGTGAAATAACAGTACCCTCCGCAGTAGTTGATTGGGAGTGTTATAATAACATTATTAATAATCAATACTCATCAAGGCATGGTGACAGACAGTTGTGCGAGCTGACAAACAATTAAAATAAAAAATACACACTTAGTCATTGTGCTTTGGAGTTTATTCAAAATTATAAATGAATGTGCTACTTGAATACATTAACTGGAACATTTGGTAGTCAACACAGGCTTTGATCCTGAGTTTAGGTGTAACATCAGTAGCGAACAGCCAATCACATGCTGATAGAGTTTATAGAATATTAAGAATTTAAACAAATGTACACCGGAAGATTCGTCGTCTTTTGGGAGGTGATGGAAACTACAGTCGTTGGCAGGATCACTCTGATTTCGTTTTCGGCTTATGTTCAAAACAATCACGTTTAAGCCACTGAATTAGTCCGGTTATACATACAACCGTGAACAGCACATGTTGTCCCTGAGCTCCGTAACGACTTCTCTCATAAAGATTTGCGTCTTTAAATAGTAAAATAATTCTCCGAAAAACAGCTAGCCTCTTCGCTAACTAACACACAAAATACCATTGGAATGCTACTTCCGCCGCCTCACCGGAAGTTTCACCCACTTTATTTTTTACAGGAGCGCCCCTCGGAAACATGTGGATGAAGGTTGACATATTATGACATCATGTTTCTAGCGTAGCCGAATGCGAACAAACAGCGATACAGAACGCGTTTCGTCACTACCTTGAAAGAGAAGCAGCAGAAAGCTAGAAGCTATAGACACCGTGAGTAGTGACTTTTCCCTTGTGAGTGGTGTAAAATATGTAGTTGGATTGTTTCATGTAACTTAGTTCTCCCTCGCTGTGTTATGCTTGTGTGGGGATAAATGAGCTAGTTATGTTTGTGAGACAGCTGATTAGAACTCATCATGTCATTGACCGTAAAACAGTATGTTATGGAATCACTAACCTTTCGATCTTGGAAGAGATCTAAGTCAATCGCGAAGAGTTTTCAAAATCAGAAAAAAGCCTATTGTGTAGTAAATGGTGTCTATGGGATGCCGAGGTGCGCGTGCTGTTACAATCATGTCACAAACATATTTTCACCTCATGTAAAATCATCAAACTCAAAACTACGTTTTTTGTACACCATCTTTCAAGAGCAAGCGAATCCTACAAATCCTGCATTCTGCAATAAACTGGATTTACCTTTTTACAATTATAGAGCATGGTGCCGTCTTCTCGACATGAATGCTGTCCAGTATCCACAGAAATCAGCTGCAGTGTTTGAGGTTCAAGTTTTCCCTAGTGTCTGCGTGTGCGTGGGTGGGCAATATAATGTTTCATCTCGACCTCACAACGAAACATCTTATGACTCGTTTGAAAAACGATTCATTTAATTGACTCAGTCGACTCTCACTTTTGAAAGACAATAACTTAATATACCGTACACTTTCAGATTTAAAACTTTGCAGGATGTTTTCATTCACCTTGAGCTATGTTACACACTACATTGAAAGGTATTTTCAAAAATCCATAATAGGGGCGAGATGATAAAACAATATCATGAGATGAACAAGATCATCTCATCTTTCAAACAAGATGATAAAACAATTTGCCACTGGGGTAAACAATAAACTTAAATCAAGTAAATCTATTTTAAGAAGTTCTTCTCAATCTAATATTGTTCTTACTAAGATTTTTTTTTTTGTTGTTATCTTTACTTAATGTCCAATAATTTGTTAAACTTACTTAAAATTTCTTGGTAATATGTACTGTTTGCATGTTAGGCCTTCATTACTCAGAAAAACCTTGTAAACATTACTTGACTGGTTTGAGAACCATTTTGCCCCCTCGCCACACTTTGCCATTGGTGGGGCAAATGGTTTATGAGGCAGGGCAATTCTTAATAGACTTTTCACTAATTTCTTCCACTTCTGCAGTCATCATTCTTCTTATTCATCTTGAAATAGTCATCTTGAATATTATTGTCAATATACCTACAAATCTTGGAAGAGCATCAAAATTCTTTAGTTGACTTGTTGATTTCCCTTTTCTCACCATTATTGTGATTAATGTTCCCTTTGGTTGGGCACGGACCTAACCCTAACTTAATTTATATTTTTGTAATTCTGTTCCAATTGATTGCAGTGATGCAACATGAAATCACAATTATTTGATTTCAAAGGAAGGGAAGCAATATACTGTATATTTATGGTCTCTTGTAAGTATAACCCCAATATCGATAGCAAATAAAATTGCAATGGTAAAATAAAACCAAAAATAGAAAAACAAAGCATTATGTAGCAGAAAAACAATTTATTCATGCCGCAATGCATTCAGGGAGTACACTTCCTCAGATCACAGACAGAATTAAGTTGAAACTTAAATGGATTAGGTAAGAGTAACTTGATGCAATTAAGTTATGCTTACTTAATGAAATTAAGGCAACAATTTTGCATAATAAAATTAAGTAAACTGAACTAATTGTTTTTTTACAGTGACTGTGTAAGATGGCCTGATTTAATCCCAAATTAGAAAACCTGCTCCTGCTCTCCAATACTTTCTCTGAGAAAGACCTAAGGCATTCTGGTCTATGAAAATATCTATGCACAAATCATGTTTTCACCCCTGACATAAAGTGCTGAGAGTGAGGAGTGATGATCTTTTGTGCTGATATGAGATTTAAAGGTAACCTAGACCTGTAACATCATCTTACCAATCCATTAAAGCCGAGCAGGACCTTTCTTAAAGTGATCTTCCAATAGTCAGACTCACAGAGACTGCTGACTGGCATCAACTGACATTTAAAGATCAAATGACACTGGGATGAGGATTCAGGAACTGGCTATATATTTTACTGTGGAGTAATTGTTAAGGAGGACTCCAAATATCGGTTTATCACCGGCAGTGATTCGAAAAATACATTTTATCAGTCAGAGCAAGTTTTTATCTGGCACAAAAACAATGAGGCTCTTACAGTAATTAGAGTGGCTTAATCTAGCCAATATATTAATTTAATTATTTGTTTATATAGATCCATTTATAATACCTCTAGAAAACATTTATTACTTAAAATAATGAAACAGCTAATGAACTTCAGAGTTTGCATTTACTTAGACTGGTGCTTAATAAATTGAACTGTAGGACATGACGTGAATTATTATTTAACAGATAATGAACAGAATTATTCGAATTGCTTTGGTTCATCTTTAAGTTATTATTAATTCATCGATGCAAAATATAATTACATGTGACAATGACGGCCTTTAGCCAAGCAGTTTGTATTCCAGTCCAACATAATGCTAGTAGATGTTTTGAAGTCTTAAGTGTAAGTTACAAAAGATCTGGTATCACTGAGATCATGTAGCAAGTGGGAAGCAGTTCTTCATCGATCTGTAAATTTATCAATAAATCCACATCCTACATTGTCAAAGGCGACCACCA